TGGACGCGTCAATATTTTTCAGCATATTTCTTTTTCTTACTATACTGTTTTTTTGTTTTTCTTCTTCATCTGTATTAATATGTTCTCTTTACTTGGAGACTTGCTTTTTTTTCCATTTTTATATTTTCATTTCTAACATTTTTTTTTCTTATATCTCTCGTTTTTAATGTTTATGTTTATGTGCTCTCTTCACTTTATTAGAGCTTTAGAATTTTTTCATCCTACGAACTTCTTTTTTTATTTGTGGTATTTTTAACAACTTGAGATAAGTACGTGATTAATAGGTTTTTTGGCAGTTCTTTATAAGTGGATCTACTGACACTACCAATGTTTTGTTAAGATTTGACGTTTCGAGGTAGATTATTTTCGCTATTTTTCGTATATCTAAGTACATATGACAAATGAAATTTATGACTGGTCAATTCGGCCATGCACCAACGTCGTTTTAAATATGTTCATCGAGTAAATAACATTTCTGTGTATTGAAAAATTAGCTGAAACCGAGTGAAGGAAGGTGGAAATTTGTATGAAAAGCGAAAGATAATGAACGTTCACTTTGATCAAACAGCATTATTATGCTGTGGTTGTAAAATAATTTATGTGAAATTTTATGTAATGTTCTATGTTCCAAAGTTCGATCATTATTCACTTCTATCCCTTCGTGTATTGTATAGTTTATTTAGAACAACCTATAGAATACTGTCAATATCAGTGATTGTTATCGGAATCTTGAGGTTGTTGACATTTTTCATTTCTGTTCGCTGTAATGATGCATTTCAATATCAGTGTTTCCTTTCATGTTGGATGCAGTACTCTGAACAATGTAATCAATTTTAGCACATACATGTTTCCAACACCAATAGAATTTGTCAACTGATGTATGTACTCAACAGCTAAACGGATCTGTAAAGAATATTGGATATAGATGAGTTTATCTACCACGACGTTTGGCCAATAATGAACAGACGATTTAATCGAATTTTATTCTCTCATTGGTTGTTTTTAACCATCGAATGAAAAATAAGTAACCACGTTTAAAATGTATTTAAGCCTGTCCAGTACTAGTAAAATTGTTTTCTAATTTGAACAAGGAGATGAGGTGAGTATCAAGCTGAAACTTTGATGTAAATGATTAGTATGTACTGGGAACTTTAAAATGATCAACTGAGATAACAATTTAATATTCATTTTGATTATTTCAGAAACACTGTCCCATCTGGATTGTTGATACTGTTTTCTTTGTTGGGTGCTTTACTTCCAAACTTCTTGGAATGTCAGGATACATGTGCACAATTTGATGACTTTGAAGCTAAGAATTATGAAAACATAATTGCTGTAAACGATTCATACAGAAAAGTACTATATCTGTTAATTGCTAATACATATACACAGTCTAGTCACTATTACTATTCTCAGGTAATCCGTCGTAATCAACCCCGTCCAGTTATAAATGGAACTTTCAATCAATTTATGCACTACCGAGTGAGTTTTCTACATCCATTTACAGAGGTACTAACGAGAGTGTACGTAAATTAATAGGTTGTAAAGTCACCATTCGCGATCAAATTTTACGGTGAACATTACAATTCATTTTATTTGGGTGAATTAGGTGAGTTTTATTTTCCCTGAATCAAAGCTGTTACTGTCTACTGAGATTTTTGAGTCAAATGATTCTATGAATCGAAGTGGCACCTATTTCGCTGAATCAGTGTTATCACATTAATTGGAGTTACTGCAGATTGTTAATCAATTGATGTATTTGCATTATTGAAACACAGGTATAGTATTTCTGGAAGAATCACAGAACACTACAAGAATCAATGGGATGATTGAAATTTTTCCATTTGAACTCCAATTCTTACAGATCGAAATGTTGAGTACCAGTGAGTTCTCTTGACTTCAGTAACATTTTGCTTTTCATTATACGCATTTCACACATTTATTTGAACAAGTTAACTTGATCATTAGAAAAAAAATCGGTCAACATAGAGAAATAATTCTGGTTTGTTAACTTATGTGTGTAATATGGCACGTGAACATGTGTTTCTTGTGTTCGTTGATCTCAAGCAAATAAATAAGTAGAATAGTGATAGATTTCGAAATGAACGCAAATTGAGTGATAAGAAGGGAAAAATCGAAAACATTTATAGTTAGAGCTGAGATGTCAACAAGACACTTCATGTTCGATTCCGTGAATGAGAATACTCACTTGTACAACAACTCATGGATAACTAATGTGAAAGTTACACGATTTTCGTTTGAGTCAAGACCAGTACAAACTAAGTTATTAACTTCCAACTCTCTTTTGACATCCACTTAGTTCGTTCAAGCTTAATACTCTTTAGGTGTAGAGAGGGAACGACTATCTGTACACCATGTCATGTCTAACATCTTTGCTGGTAATCATACTCATACGTTTTTGCAACTGAAATTGATGTTTTTTCTGGGTCAATGAGTGAATCAACGATGAAGATTAGTCTGATGGAACAAGAAGATCTCCTGTAGACTGAACGCCATCACCGATAAGTATAGTAAACTTCGGTCTATCATAATAACAGAATTTTAGTTACTAATTTAATATGGCTATTGTCAGAAAGATATGATAGTCTTTTGATCCGATCGGAGATCTAATAATTTACGGGGTGACAACCGATTCTATGTTGAAATGCAAAATTGTTGAAAGAGATATATATTTACTGTTCACATATATACGTATACTGTTATAATTTCAGAGAGTATGATAGCTGCGAAATGGTCTTTTCAAGAAAATTTTGATGATGAACGTAAGTTTGTACCATATGTTTGTCAAAAAGCCAGTTATATGCGTTTCAAAAATATCCATGTTATTTTATTAATATAAATACTCAGTCATTAGTCATAGGTTGAGATTATCCATTCAGATTAGGACAATATTTACACGATTTATTTTGAAATATAGGTTTATCATGATCAGTCTATAACCCAATTTCCCTTAGAAAATGTGTGGTCACAGGCAGCTGAATGGTAGTGTTGCGTACAGAAATATGTCACTGTTGCAAATGCAAAGAAAATTTTCAAATCTCATATAATGTAAGCGTATGATCGACCGCATCAGCGAAATGCCATTAATAATCTGTAATTATGAATTCTATCTAAACTTCGATACAGCATAAATAAATTTGTTTGGAAATGAAAATGAATGTACAATACGTTTCAATTTCAAGTGTAGATAACTAATTCGTCTACATGAAATGAACTTGAGTGTGACTATTACTATGAAGCTGGAGGAGGAAAATCAAAAAAACACTGTGACTATTTAATAAAATCTGGTCACTATATTAGCATGTACACAGTGTCACATTCAACAACAAAATTCTTCTTCACCATATCTCACATTCCTTATTTATACAGGTGTCACATTTACAGGCTCTTCTCAGATAATTTGTATGATATATCCAAATGGGAATATATCAATATACTATGAGAAGGTAAGTTGGACCATTGAATAAAATAGAATGTTACTTTGAGTTTTTTTATTTTAATTCACTCTCCTATGCATTCTAATAGTGTCGAGTGTGTCAAAGTGTATTTCAAACGATAGAAAAAAATCAACATTTTGTGATCTGCATACAAACTCCATGATATTATCATTGTTACTGTT